GACCTTAATGGGGCATCGAGCGTCCGATTGTTCGAGTTGGTCGCTGATTTGTATAGGTGGTAGCCGAGTTATTTGCAGATGGCATTCACACCAAAGTTAGAGAGGTAGTGAAGTAATCATTAAAACAACTCTGCTTGAGAGTTGGGGCGCTCATATTCCTCGCTAGCAGTCAGTATGGGGCAGGATGAAAGAACTTGGCAACGCATCTCATCGAGTCGGAAAAGTCGTGACAGTTCAGCCATTTGGCAGGCAGCGTGAAGATATTTTGGTCAGACGCCATTCGAGCGTCGCTACTCATGTAAGTCATGCCCTTTTTTTATCCGGTTGTTGATAAGTGAGGTTCGAAGACGAGTCAACTCATGTTGTCTCGTCGTTGGATGAAAGTCAAGTCAACCTTTGTCGATTTGATTGAAGCGAGTGGTATGCATGATTGTATTGTATGTAGGATGATTTTGGAAGGTAATTCAACTTACATTGATATGAGTCTTTTGTAACATTTTGATTGTCCTTGAAAGAAGGGGCTAGGATTGATTGAGGTTTTCTTACGCTTGGACTATCACGGCCTAGTCGACCAACGTCGGTCCGATTCCTGGGAGATCAGCGCCCCAGGAACGGACGACTTGCGGGTCCACTTTGGCGTTTAACCATGCGTACCTATGCTACAACGAACGATCAAACGCCCTCGACTGGCCTACCTCTGCGATTGCATTATAAAAGCTTTCGCATGTGGGTCGGTAGCTCGGCGGGGATACGCCCCTAAGGGTGGTGACAGCCCCTTAGGGAAGGTAAGTTGTGCCCCGCGAGAACCTATCCTGTCGTAGGGGACTGCGGGATGTACAGCTGGCGCACGGATGTACAGCTGGCGCACTCGGCCGGAGCGGCGAAGGGTCGACGTGGGTTACCGGTCGGGAGGGCCCTCGCTTGCGCGGGGGCCGATGCGCTCGACAGCGTATACTGCGGTGCAGATGTACGAAACACTCTGCGACGAATCGAGCAGATTCATCTGTATGAGCCCGCTAGGGCCTACACATAGGAGGGAGTGGGTTTGTGTTGATTGATCGGTTCTCTTCCCCTCCCTTGATCCTGCCCTACACCGATCTGACGGTGCTTCCGTGGTCCGCGGCCCAAGCCATGTGGCGGCCTCAGGTTTAATTGCCGCTTGTGTCGTCAGGGAGATTCGTGTTCCTGGCGAAGATTAGTCCTAGGATACGAAGGTGCGGCTCGATTCCCAGAACTCTCCTGCAACGGGGGCGCGCTCCCGGCTAACTTCGAAACCTGGGTTCCCCCAACGATGCTTACACTAAGTGACGCCGCACCGGGATGCCCACGCGGACTCGATGAATCCGATACCGAGGCCTGAAAACTCCGTGCCTGTGGGGCTTCCGCCACCGAATTAGCATGAGCCTAGCAAGAAAGGACTGGTGAATTTCGCTTCCCCGGTTCTTTTCCTTCTGGTTTGTCAATGGTCGGTCGGGTAGCACGTCGCTTGCCGCCCTCCCCCCTTGGCCGAGCGTAAGCTTTTGAAAACCGGACAGAACCTGTTGTTTCGAAATAACCTCTTTTCCTTCCCTGGGCTCTCTCTTTTGCCATTGACGACGGCCCAAATTCGAGACCCGCCTCGGTACGAAGCAAGCATCCCCCGTTCCGCCCATGTGATTCAACCCCACCGGCCAAAAATCCTCGGCCACACCCCCAATTACTCTGATCGGCGTTCGTGCGTACGGGACGAAGCGCGCGGTGTGTGGTTCCATCGCATCACACATCTGGTGAGGAGGTGTTGGGAAGTTTTTTATTTTTTTTGGGGGGGGATTATTGTCAGATCGCACTCTGTTGTAGCTTGGACTCGTATGGGCGGAGGGCTTGAATGGCGGGCGCACGTTCTTAGCTTGGACTCGTATGGGCGGAGGGCTTGAATGGCGGGTGCACGTTCTTTGTCTTCTTTGTGGCTAGGTAGCACGGAGCCGTGTGGATGGGAGAGGGGCATGGGCTTTTCCGACTTCAATAGATAGGTTCACCTGCTTAGACTTTTGGATCTTACGCCACTGTCGAGGTTGCGGCTGCCGTTGATGTCGTTGTTGCTCTCCTTGGATCTCGCTTCCCAAGGGTTGATGTGCGTTGGTAGCTTCATGTAGTGGTCGACAGCTTCCAGGTGCGGAACATAATGTCTCTAGTGTATCCTGCTTGAAGATCCCCAGCCACCCTTGTCGTGTAGGCCTGGGCGTGCGCGGGGCTTCACCGGGCTTTCACAGGGCTATGGCGCCCCAGTTGGGGCGTTTTGTCGTTGACTTGTCGGCAGCATTTGTCTCATTCGAAGTGAAGAAGTTGAATTTGCCCGTGCGGGCGTGGAGGTTAGCAGGTGTGAGTTCGAAAATTAGCGCTGCTGAGCGCTAACCGGAGGCGCGGTCGCGGGGGAAAAAAAGCAAACAACTATGTTTTTTATTATTATTGAAGTATATTAATTAATAACATAAAAGTGAAGAATTGCGTGACCATGCCATCAAAGTCAATTGGACCTGTGACAACTTAAATTGAACAATTGAATGAAAGGTATGTGGAAGTTCTTCCCCCGAATACAATGTGCGGTCATTATAGCTGTATTTGGGATATATTTTTGGCTAAGTACAGCTATAATGACCGTATGTTGTATTCGGGGGAAGAAACTAGGGATCGATTGGCCAAGAGAGAGAGGGGGAAAAAAAAAGAAAAAAGAGGGTCGGCATCTTTTTTGAGGAGGCTTGCTCTGTCAGGCCCAGAGGGCCAGGCTGCATTCTGAGGGTGGTGACTCTGTCGTGTAGTCCGGTGGGGTGGTTTAGCCACGGGTTACCCGATAATCGGTGTTGTCATGTATGCAGTCAGAATTACGGCCAGGTTCTGACCAGAGAAGTCTCAGTATGACCGACCTAAGCCCGTGGGCAATGCTTTGCTGGCGGTAAGGTGATGGGGTCACCGTTGCAAGAGACCATGGAGGTCGTACACGGAGGTCATACTCACACCCGTACTTTTCCAACTCAGCTGTGACATAATTGCAGGCAGATACGTCCAGAGTTGGCCGTAATTGCAGTCATACGTCTGGAAAAGTCTAGTGTAAGTATGCCCTCAGAACACCTGTGCACAGCATTGTCTTTTTTTTTGCAGCTTAAATAATGAGGATGATACCTTCTGGCGTGGTGGCTAGTGGGGTCGCTAGTGATAGAAGCCGCCAGAGTTTCTCGCACATGAGGTGAAGGTAGTTGGTCTGAGAGAGCCACTCCTTTTCTAGTTCCACGCCCCTCCTCTGCCCGGGACTACT